CTATCGCTCCCCTATTGCTCTCTATCGCTCTATTGCTCTTCGCCCTCTCTCTCTCTCACCCTCATCTCTCTCTCTCTCTCTCTCGTCTCTCCTCTCTCTCTCTCTCTCTCTCTCTCTCTCTCTCTCTCTCTCTCTCCTCTATCTCTCTCTCTCCTCCTCCTCCTCCTCCTCCTCCTCCCCTCCTCCTCCTCCTCCTCCCTCCCTCCGTGACTTCCTTCCTCCCCTCCTCCTCCTCCTTCCCTCGCTCCCCTTTCTCTCTCTCCCTCCCTCCCTCCCTCCCTCCCTCCCTCCTCCCTCCCACCCCCTCCCACCCTCCCCACCCCCCCCTCCCTCCCTCCCTCCCTCCCTCCCTCCCTCCCTCCCCCTCCTCTCTTTCTCCCTCTGCTTGTCAACAGTGAGTGTATTACCGGCAATACAGGCCAGTCTGGGGCTTCAAGTTGACCGGCACTCGCCTGCGAGCTTAAAACATAGCTGCGCCTTCTTCAGCGTATAAGGATTTGTTCTCCGGGACCTACAGCGGACAGAAACGTGCAACGAAGCACCTGGTGAAGGCGTTTGCAAATTGTCATGTCATCTCAACACCGTCCGGCACGAAGGCCCATTAATTCGACGGGAAACGGCCCATGCCACGATTCCTATGCATGCAATACGCTTTCGCTTTGAACGAGAGAGATTGAGCCGTCAAGAGCATAGATGTCGCAACGTAGTGCACTGTAACCGACATTGAGATGAAACACAGTCGCACTTTTCGTCATACTTTGGGCATCATGCACTAATAGTCTGCACAGGTCCGTGGTCCCACATGTCGTCGATGATAATTCTCGGGCGCCATGCCCGAGGGCAGCCCATTGTGAGGTGAAGCTATTGAAACAGAAGCCCGCGCATGCTACATGTCAGTGCACCGCTACCTGCAAAGAATCAGAGACTAATGCTGCAACGCAGTGAGGAAATCTAGTTGCACAATTTTACATGGGTTACTGGCTTCGTTTGTTTTAGTCTTGGTGTCATCTCTTCCACCGTAACGTTCACTTCAGCTATCATCTCGCGCGTTCCATAGTGCAAAATACAACTTACCGGCTCTTGTTGCAGCCATGCTACGCTGGATTCTCGAGAACCCATCGAAGGAAGGCCTGTTCGATGAAGGGGACGTGCGGGCCTGGGATGTCATCCACCTCGGCAGGCTGAAAGCGAATCCAGATGTACTACTATCTCTGGGACATCGCTTCACCCGATCTGCGTGGAAGATGCTCCTGGCTGGGGTGGACCAGTTCGATGAAGAACGTGATTGGTTGTGTGGTTGTGGGGAGGACCACCTGGTTGGTGCCTCCGTGCAATGTGGTGTGTGTGAAATGTGGTTCAGCACGCGCTGTTCTGTTGGTTATGTTAGGGGTATGGGTGCATGTGTATGTTCACTGTGCAAGTAGCGGTAGTTTCCCCCAGAGCAGAGGTTGCCTTGAGTGGCAAGTGAAAAGTTTAGCCGTCTTCCTTTGGAGTTAAGAGAATTGTTACATTGTTTTAAGTTGGCCATATCAGATGCAGTGCGACAATGGCCTGCCCTAGCCGTCGGTAGGTCGTCATGGATCTGTGAATGCCATGACAGCATGGGTGCATTTGTGTTTGGCGCAGCATATTGGTTAATTATGTGTAGCTGTACATAGTTACGTTGTAGTGGGTCGATGAACAGTTACCTTCTTTTGGCACCAAACATAATGTCGTTGCGTTTGGACGTGTCATGTCGTTGTCCCTGACTTGCTGTGACACGGCTGACCAGCGGCGGTGGATGCATAGCTTTAGCTGTCATTTCCGTTTGATAAACATATGCGTTTTATACATTATGCTTTACATTTGTTTTATAAATTATGATTTACATATGCCTTTTATATATAACACTTGTATACATATGCAATATATATGCAATAGCAGTCCGTTGTGTCCAGATTGTCACCCAACGATGAAGCAGTCGTTTTCTGGTAACCACAACATTGGCATCCAGATAGACGCGATGCATTCAGACGACAGGTGATTCGGCTGGCTGTTGTGGCCGCAAGCCTAAGAGGAGCTACTGTTGGGCACTGTGGGACACTGACCGCCACAAGGGCTTCTCGTTGTCGCCGGGGCCCAGACCAACGCAATCCTCGGGCTCGGCCTCGTCCACGCTTGGGAAGCGGGCTCTCAGGGCTCAGACCGGCACGAAAACACTGTTCGGTGTTGGTGATGTCTTGCCGGAATAGGGGCCCACATTGCCCTAGAGGTCCCCAACCGGTGGTAGAGACGTTCTGACTGATACTTGAGGTCACGGTGCTACCAGCGGAGGGTCGTAACCTACAGCCAGCACTACGGCCCTTCAGTCTTCCTCCCAGGCCCTTGAGCTTTGGTCCCAAGGTCTTCGGATTCCCTCGAACACGGCTCTTGACGGCCTCGGGGCACCTTCCCAACGCGGGACCTTACGTCAGGCACTTCGGGACCCTGGGCGACATAGGAACCCCGGCTTTGTCGTTGCTTTAGAAATGGGTCTTCAGACCCAGACTGGCAAGGAGCCGGATATTTGGTTCTGGTGGTGCCTAACCGACCGTTGGGCTCTTATCGACGCAGTGGTCTCCTGCAAACGATGCAAAGAGCGCTCTGACTGGTATCTGTAAGCCCAGCCAGCAGCGTCAGGCACCTTAATGCGCCCCCGAGTCAGACCTTTGGACACGCAAAACGGGCCCTTAATCGTCGATACCAAGGGGTCTGAACCAGCCATTTTGGATCCTAAGGGGGGGGGGGGGGGCGTGCTATCTGTGCCGCCGCTGTCTGTGCCACGGGGGTATCGTGTGAGATGATTCAAGTGGTATGCAGGTTTTACAATTGTGATACTAAAAACTGCAAGGCAAGGCAATCCTCGGGCTCGGCCCCTGATGCCGCTGTTCCCTTTTTGTCCAGTTCCCACGCAACCTGTGATGGCTTTGCCGTTGCGACGATGATGCGAGACTGTGCAGCATGGGGAAAAGCGCACTAGTACCTGTCGACGTACTGCGAGATATACCAATGCATGAAGTGTAAACGATTTTATGACGTGGTGTTCATCTGTGGTTTACGTGATATCGACAGTACCGCGCCGAACCACGCCTGATTGCCGCCAGAGATGGAGGACGTAGGCAACATGCTTTCTACGTCGCCATCACAGATTCGGCGATAAGAAAGTGCCACTGTTACTTTCACCGACTATGTTTTAGTGTCAGCAACCATTGGCTGAGAACAGGCAAAATTTGGAAGGTACTCACCTGCGCTTTATGGCACAGGTGCGGCTCTGGTACCCTCGGTGCCGAGCTGGCGCCGAGATGCTGCTATGTTGCATAACGGGTGATTGAAATGGGCCATTCTCTGCCGATTTCGGGTCCCGAGATACAACTGCTTGTCAGTTCGCCGGGAGAAACGAAATAGCCCTGCTGTGTTTCGACCGCGCCATACCTAAGAAGGGTGATATGAACTCAGCAAAATCAAAAATTTCGAGTTCGCATTTTCTCAGATGCACGCAATATACACAAAAGAACACATTAGAGGCCACGGCTTCGTTAAAGCATACATCTTCTCCTCCAACAAGACTATAAGAAGACTATTTCTTCTCCGAATAGGCCAAACCAGCTGGAAGGTTTATCAATAATTTATTGGCTGGCGCCCCAGCCGAGCGCCCCGGGCTGGAAAGCCGGGAGACACAACTCTCACAAAGCTTTTTCGGGAATTCATTGCCCAAGTTGGAAATATATATATATATATATATATATATATATATATATATATATACATATATATATACATATATATATATATATATATATATATATATATATATATATATATGCAAACAGAGTCAATGGGCACATCTGAAAGAAATGACAATTAGAAATCATGCTGACTTGAAAGGTCAAGGTCAGGGCAAAGGTCTACGGACCCCCATTACATGTTTGCAGGGGCTGTCAATTGGAGCGTTTCATTTCCTCAAAGAGTATATGCTCTTTGGCTAAATGAGGATGCTGTGTCACGAACATGTAGATGCACAATGGGGTCAGGTCAAGACCATTCTGTATGTTGGCATTCTGATTTGCTGTATTCATGTGATCTATGATTCAACATATTTTCACGTCCATTTTGATCGAGTTATGCAGCTTACATGTCAGCTACAATTTTTTTCCGGTCATTACATAGTCAAGATGTCGGTAGAATGTCAAGATGAGGTCATATGGGGCCAACATGACGCACAGTATGCTAGTCATGTCATGCATGTTTCCGGATTGCGTAGCCCATGGGAATCCAATAAAATCACTTGCAATCTTGCATTGTGTCATCTTAGTGCCTGAATAGATCAAAACCTGTCATTTGTTACAGCTTACTATGACCTTTGAAAGGCAATCAATAGCCATGTACACGTAAGGAAATTGATTTTGAACCTGCTGCATAAAAAGCTACTACTCTGCTCACATGTTATCTGAAATCAAGATTTCATAATTTTCAAAGAGGTAGAGATTTCAATTTGTCAGCAATAGAGGAAAGCAAATTTTTTGTAACAATTAGACAGTACCTAGCGCACAGCTCACCTTTATTTATGCATGAATAACACACTCTAGCATGATTTTGTCAATACCATGAGCAGCCATACTGTGCCCTTATTCTAAACATCAATGGCAATGAGACATAAGTAAAAGACCTGGTCACAGCATCTCTTTTCTCTACAACATGCATAGTTCTCACTATTGGTGGCTTGGGGCACCAATGCTTGCTCAATTTCTATTCACAGTAACACAGTTTTCTGACAGTTCTCACTGTAAGGATGCAGACACCCTCTTTCCATGCCTCCCTATTGGGTACCTAGCTCTGACAATTTAATTGCAGGACCCTGGCATATCTAGGCATTAAAAGTAGAGCACTGTAGTAATCATTAGCCTTCAGTGGAAGAGCTAACCTTTATAATACCTTTGATATAATTGGACTCATACAGCAAGTTATGAAGCCTGGACTTCAAAGCATGCAATAGAACAGCTGCAAAAATGTCATATCTGATCACTTTCATGGAAATAATACATCCATCACATAATGTGCCTATGTGCACTCATATACCTAAGGAAGATGACATGATGATGAAAAATTGATGTGACATGGGATTCAGTCCCCAAGATGACCATAATATGTAATCAGATGAGATCACAACCCAATCCTATCTATAAATATTCACAGCATTACAACTTTTGCTAGCTGTCATTTGTCATGCTCATATTTCATGCCTCAAAATGGTTTTACATGAGAGATCAAAAGAGGTTGATGATGATGATTTGAGCTTTGGAGCACACAGACTCTGTTGGTCATATGGCACCCACAACCTGCTTTTTATATGACAGTTGCCTGAAAAAGCAGGGAGATAAGGTTACATTTGATATACAGCATGTAATTGTGTTTCTTCAAGATAACTAAAAATGTGACTGTCATGTACTGAGCTGGTGTCATCTCACAACATACCACAGAGCATTTGATGCAAGGACCCAGATCCAAAATGGCGCACACGTTTCCCCACATAACAGGCATTGGTGAGTTGGGTATGTGTGCCCTATTCTCAGGCGGCATAGCGTCACTTCCTCCCGCCTCACCTTACAACAGCTGGATGCCCATGGTCCCAACCAGGGCTTTATCTGTCTCAGTTTATTGGAAAAAAGGAAAAAAGGGGCTAGTTATCTGAGCAGTCAGGACTAATTGAAGACATGCATCATCTTTACAACACGTAATAACAACAATGTAGTATATTGTGTACCACCAGGTTCATACATGTCTTAAAAAATGCAGCTATAGAAACACAACACACACAAACACAGTGCAAGGCAAAACACTCAACTCCCTGCAACTAGCGGCACAATGCCACCTTACACTAAAATCATGGAGAAGAACCTGTGCCTTTAACATCACCAACAGGTTTACGTCTGTAGGTGTACTTTCCTACCTAACGTTAGAAAAAATCATTGCACACCATTCGTCGTGTTCAAGGCGGCACATATCGTAAATCATCTCAAAACAGGTAGAATCATGCTCCTACCTTCGAATTTTAATAACTTCGATGGCGAGCTCCCGAGCGCCGCGCGCACCGCACCGCCTGGACCCCCCAGCGCCGTTTCTGCGTTGCCGTTGCGTAAATACAATATTTCTGCTTACCAAGAATTCTACAAAATGTACGGGACCAAGGTAAACCATTCGTCGTGTTTAAGGCGGAACATATCGTAAATAATTTCAAAACAGATAGAATCATGCTCCTACCCTCGAATTTTAATAAATACGATAGCGAGCTCCAGAGCGCCGCACGCCCCGCACCGCACTGCCTCGACTTCCAAGCGCCGTTTCTACGTTGTTGCGAAAGCACAATATTTCTGCTTATCAAGAACCATAGAACATGTACAGGACCAAGGTAACAATAATAAAGCAACCAAAATCGTTTCTTATCGAGTTTAGGTACATTTATGAAACACGCAGGCCAGAACAGTCCAGAACATATCCTAACCTAACCTAACTTTTTATGGTTCGCAGTAGATATGGTTTATAGTTATAGTATGGTTTATATAGTATAGTTTATAGTTATAGTTATGGTTTATAGTATGGTTCGCAGTTAATATGGTTTATATCGTAAACATGGCTATGGTAAATACGGTTTACGCTAAGTAAATATTTTTATGGTTCGCAGTTAGGTTATGGTTGCCCTGCCTTAAACATGACGAATGGTTTACTTTGGTCCCGTACATTTTGTACAGTTCTTGGTACGCAGAAATATTGTATTTACGCAACGGCGACACGGAAACGGCGCTGGGGAGTCCAGGCGGTGCGGTGCGCGCGGCGCTCGGGGGCCCCGCCATCGAAGTTATTGAAATTCGAAGGTAGGAGCATGATTCTACCTGTTTTGAGATTATTTACGATATGTCATGCCTTAAACACGACGAATGGTGTACAATGATTTTTTCTAACGTTAGGTAGGAAAGTACACCCTGACCGGTTTACGAATGGCTACCGCACACACAAACAGCATCGTGCACAATACACTCATCTAGCTTTCGTGCACACCACACAAAAGCTTCAAACACACCATAATTTCAGGCACGACCCAAACACGCTGCCTGGCGCGTCACAATCAACTCTTGAGTTGGCATATTTCCGAACGGTGCAGGGGGACATGTTGAAACACTGCCATAATTCGTTGTCCTACAATATCACAGTGATCGTTTGATGTCAATCACCTATAGAACCAACTTTTCGCACGGGATTCCGCATTTTTGCACTTAAATGCCTCCAACGCTGCCAATTCGCGTATGCTTGACACGTACAACCATCTGAAAGATTTTTGGAGGGCGTATAAGCCCGGTGCGTAACCGCCCTCCGTTTTGGAGGGCGTATAAGCCCGGTGCGTAACCACCCTACGTTTTGGAGAGTGTATACGCACAGCCTATAATAAAATGATAAAGGTAAAATAATGAAGGACATAAGGGTAATTGAGGGGGCGCGGGTCGCACCCTCAAATACCAGCCAGAGGGGCCCCGGGGGCACCGATTGGGCCCCGACCTGGGCCTGGGAGCCCATTTCCCAAGGAGGGTCAAGGTCAGAACCCGCGATTTACATTGATCAAAAAAGCCAGTGCGCCCCGAGCCAATGAGGGGCCCCTGTGTCGGCCAGGGACACACAGCGCCTAACCGGAGGTCCGGTGTTGACAAGGGCCCCCTAGTTGGTCAGGGAGTGTACGAGGGTGCCTGAAGATGGACCGGTGTGCCCTTCAAGACTGACGATAAACGGGCCGATGGGGAGGCTAAATGACCGTAAGGGTCGAAAGGCTGCGGGTCATCCTGGCCCGTATGGCTGGGATCCCAAATGTCAGCCAATATGCCCCTTTCGCCGATTGTGAACCCCTGGAATAGTGCGGGCACCTCTTTCGGCCGGAGACCACTACAACGAATAGTTGACTCCGTGTTGCTCTGAGCCCTGGGGCCCCATTTCTTTAGCAGGAACGAGACCGAGGCCAGCGATTTGCGTTGGTCGGAGTCCCTATTACAATGAGTGGTCTTTTGACGGTCAGGCTTCCAGTGTCCAACAGAGGGCCCTGTGACGGAAGGAGTCCCGAGTCGGCCAGAGGTGACCCGGGGCCCCTGCGGGGCCCTTCACTCCGTTTTAGCCAAGGATCCGTTGGCCAAACATGGGTCTCTGTGACAGTCATTGGATCACCTGCGGTTATCAGAGATCTTGCTGCCCCAATGAGGGCTCTTGCGCCTATTCCGGATCAAATGCCCCGGCCAGAAGCCGCCAAAGGGCCTTCCGCACCAGGGAGGCCACCAATGTAGGACGTACATCTGTGAGGGCCTCCGGATGAACCCATCGGGCGAACCCGCCTCCATGTCGTCAGAATGGCAGCTGGTAGACACTCCGGGCTGGGACGAAATGATCTTTAAGCAATCACCCGGAAGGGTCGTGTGCACCTAACTTTTCACTAATGTTTACACATTTTACACATTACATTACACACGTTTACACATTACACATTTTCAATTAATGTTTACACAAGTTGCTGGCCTTATTTAGATTTACGGTCAACCTTTACGGGATCCTCAATACCCCTGTAGGGCGTGGACTCCCTCCCCTGGAGGGACGGAGTCCTCTTTATCTTTAGTCCTCCCTCTGGCGTTAGAAACTACGCTGCTGTTTGGTATGAAAAGCCGGAATTAGAATTCACGCCGTTTAGAATTGAAGCAAGCCGCCATCATCACGCCACACCGATAGACCGTGAAGTCACCCACTTAACATCAGCCATCGTCGAGATTCGAACCCGCGTGCGAGACCAGCATGCTAACCATCTATCCACTTGAGATGCGGGCCCGGCGGTCGGAAATTTGTGATTAGCTAAGGACTTGTTCAGAGTGAGTTAATAGATTTCGTAATGGTTTGATGCCTATCACGCATAGAGCCGACTTTTCGCACGGAATTCTGCATATTTGCACTTGCTTCCCTGTAAGACTGGCAATCCGCGTATACTTGACACGCACAACCATCTGAAATATTTTTGGAGGGTGTATAAGCCCGGCGCGTAGCCACCACCCATTTGGGAGCATTGACCTATACAAGTCTAGACAGCCTACTCCCATTGGCGTGGCGACCGGCGGGCTGTTCCCGTCTTGCGACACTAGCGCCACCACGCGGAGAGCGGCAAGAGCAATGATCCTATGGCGGACGGCCGACTTTCGGAGGCGTGTTATTGGGAAATGATGGGAGCGAGGGCCTTGAAAATTCTGGGGCTGTTTAAGACATCAATTTTACGCAATACGGCACAGCAAGGGCTGCTCCAAGGGCATGGGTAGCGGCTTGACAGATCGATCTAGGCATACTGATCTTGCAATTTTGCGTCGTAGCAAAAGTGGGGGGGGGGGGGGGGGCGGGGAGGCAGGGTAATATCTGGTCTCAGAAGAAAACAGATGGTCCTTCTAAGACAGAAAAGATGCCATAACGATAACGCTGGAAAGTTGTTCTTAACCCTCATCCGGGTGTGGTCCTTTGCAACATTCCAGCGGGCAGAGGGACCGGGCCAGTCGTACCACCCTCTCCTGGCTTGTGGTTTCGGCTTGAGATAGTCAGAAGCAAAGCCGAGCAAGATAATTGTCATGAATGTTAGCCAACTGTATCCAGCTTTAAATGTATTCGACAGTTGGGTTCTCCCAGGTCGGATCGACGACCCAAAATCGTTGGAAAGCACGAATCTTTTCGCAGGCGGCACTTTGACTGACGACAATGTCATCTTTTGCACCAGCCTGTTGGGAGACGGAGGACATTCTTACGTCTTTTTTATGGGCGAAGTAACTGCCCCGATGGGTTGCTGGAGTTCAGGCTATGGTTATCCCTTTTTATGCACTGCATGTATGCTGTTCACCTGCGTCAGAGAATATGTCTGTCCCCATTCACACTCAGATAAGACCAGAGCTCACGTCTCGATTTGGTACGTTGCAAGAATATAAGCTACGTCCAGCACCGTCGGTTCGGTACTCCTGCGAGCTGTGTAGGCACCGAGATATGCGCATAATATATCATGCTATTCAGAATATGTACACCGTACTATTGACAACGTTAGTGCACAGGACTTACACGTCGACACACATTATAGCCCCAAAGCTACGCATGGTATATTATGCTGTTCGGAGTACGTACACCGTACTTCTACCAATGCTAATGCACAGGACTTGCATGTCCACGCACCTTACAGCCCCAAAACTACGTAAGAAGTAAATCTACTTGCGGTCACCAGCACAGGTATTTACTGATGGATTTGACTACTGGTGTGCAAAGAGCACCTGCTTGTACAGGTTGTGCCTCACATGGGTACGGAACATTCCACTCACTGTAGCATTTTGTCCATAGGCATGGAGGCGGACACGCAGATACCTGGCCACGATCTGCTTTACCATTACCACAGCATGGCACTCATCCGCTCGCGGCTCGAACATGTGATCTTCCACACCAGGGAACAGTTCGTGGCTGCGTTCAGTCATTAACTGCGCCATGACACTGCACTGGATACTCAGTGACACTTTCGCTAGGTCCATCTTACCACACCTATGCAAAGCGGTCAAATGCCGTTCAGTTGTCGTGACGATCGCGTACGTCGATGCTGACGGGATGAGCAGCCCGCCGTTGTCCCGCACTTTTACGAGACCCATCACTTCATGCGATGGAGGGTCGTCCTCGCTGCACAGAAGTGCACCAATGCACTCACCACACCCGATCGCGCCCGTTTCCACCAGCTTGCGGCACACATAGCCGGAGATGTAGCCAACACAGTTGTCAACGAACCCCGAGCCGGTGTCCTCTGGCGTGAGGAGATGCTGCACGACCGCCGGCATGGGGTTTCTCTCGCTGAGCGTCGGCCGCTGCCGTTTTGGACGACGGATCTGGAGCAGGCCGTCGTCACCGTCATCCCGTGACGTGCAGCTCCCGGTGGCAGATGGCGATATGAAGTTGTGCAGTATGAGTCTGCGCATGGCATGTTGCAGTTGGGCCACGTTTGGGTTGTTGTTGAAGCCGCCCATACGTCGGATCCGGCTGAACAGTAGCTCTAGGTGGTCTTGGGACATCTTGTATGGCAATACATAGACGAACCCCTCCTCCAGCAGTACATAGACGAACCCCTCCTCCTCCTTTAGTCTCACCGACGTCCATGACGGTCTGCGTCGCGAGACAGAGACCCAGGACAGGGGTGAAGCGTCGCGTCTGCAGTACCGGTTCGCCTGATGCTGTCTGCAGCCGGAACAGCACGGAACTGAAGTCGGCCAGAAACTCACGTCGGCGCCTAGCGGAAATGATTATCAGTCAGCACACTCAAAAAGGAATAACAGCAACATCCATAGCCTTTACTGAGGCAATTGCTCGGCCACAAACCGCCCTCACAACATGATGTTCAAAATGAATTGCTGATAACCAGAGGCCGCCCAGTCGTTACATTTTGTTTGCGGGGGAGCGGAAAGTTCACGCCTTCTTGATCGGCGACCGGGGTGGGGATCGCCCATACATACCTGAATGGCCAGTTTAGCCTGGTGATTGGAAGGAGGGGGGATAGGGTGGGGGTGGGGGAGCATAAGACATAAGTGGCCAGCTGCAGGGAGATAGGGCACACTTTTGCCCTACATTTCACTTTGGGACATTTTGCTCCTATCGCTTGATCTGCCTACGGGGATAACGGGCGATCAAACACAAGAGCACATCACGCTATATGCCAACGCCATTTTCAAAGAACATTCCGCTAGCATGATTGTTGATGCTGTGTATGTGATAGCTGGTTTTTGGCAATCCTAATATATTTCCTTAGGAGAAAGAAAACACACACTTTCGATTTATCAGGTTGTTCTTAATGCTAATTAATTTAACTCACATCAAGCTGTTGGCAGCTACATGAGTCTTGAAGCCCTTCCCGTAGGGGTTGCTGCTGTTGAGGTAGTCGAATGCCTGATCAACAAGCAGGATGAAGCGCGCCGTTGCCCGCGCTCCGATGAAATGGTGGCTCAACTCTTCTAGATACAGCAGAGCTTTGCCCACCGAGCTGCTGAACAGCTGGGCAGCAAGCTTAACTTTCATTTTGTTCTTTTTGAACTGGATGTGCAGGCGAGAGCTTGTTGGCTGCCCGGATACCCTCGCTGTGCTGCAGGCCGCACAGCGCCTGTGAAGGTATCCACAATCGTTATTTTACCTTGGCTGCAGAATACTGAAAACGAGCTGAACAGGTTCAGCCATTAGTATAAGAGTATCGCCGCGCTCTCAGATTAAGTTAAGTCTCTAAGTCTCTACCCATGCATCCAGACGTGAACTACATAGATGATGGGATAGATGTACGCAGAAAAACAGAGCGATACTTAAGTAAAAAGTAGTCTTTTAGCATTATACTTGGTTTTGCTGGGACTGAATTACTACTAAATCATTTATTATTACTATTATTACTAAATTTGGCATACTCTTACCTGAATATACTTCCTGGATACCTCTTCACCATCCAGTTGAAGACTCTTGTATTCACCAAGGACGTTTCGCAACAGTTTCAGCATGTGCACAACATCCGGAAGAACATACACCTTCTGGTTGGTTGCAGGATGCAGGAAGTAGCTAGGAACAATGGGAAGCTGAAGTTGTTTTGGCTGCAGGTTCTGAACGCCCAAGTGGCTGAACATGGACAGGTTGGCATGGAGTCCATCGGCCACGAACGCTCGCACCTTCAGTCCTGCATCGCTTAAAGTACACAGGACAGTCTTGGCCAGTTCTGTCTGAGTCTCACTTGAAATGTGGTCTGTAAGAAAGTAGGCGACAGGATGGCGCCACACACCTTTGAAACCAACGGCCGTGAACACTAGGGCATTTGTTGCATGTCTCGTGTCCTCCACGTCCCCTGCACCCAGATCAACATGACCAACGAACTTGTCTTTGGGTTGCGAGTATACCTCCGCCTTCCGGATCGCCATCTCATCAACCATCAAGCAGCAGTTGGGGTCAATTTTCTTGGTTGTCACTTCACAGCACAGCGTCTGTCGCACCTCGTGGAGTACGCCCACCTAACAGCTGACACTTCTCGCCCACTCTCGTAGCGATGTTGCATCCGGCAGAGAAAAGTTCTTTGAGAGGAACCTATATGCTCTCGGGGAATAGTAGTGGAAGGTGAGGAAGAGCTTCCTGATTTCTTTTGAATACCTCTGGCCACTTCGCTTCTTCCTGCCACCATTGACAAATTCGTTGGTGAAAAGCACTGACACCATGGGGTTTTCAAATCGAGATCGGATCACCTCGAGAAGCTCGGCATCGACGATCCGGCTTTCTTTGAGGGCGTCCAGAGTACTTTTGAGGCACTTGAGCCGCCTGTCGCGCCTCTGCAGCTTCTGTCGTAGCTTCTTCTGCTCGTAGCGCAATTTTCGAACCTTTGCAGCCATCTTTTGCAGTGGACTGGAAATGTGTCGAGTTGTTGCACTTGCGCTATAGCTATGCTCTGGGCCGCCTGGGTGATGTTGGAGCTTCACTGGGGTGTGCTGTAGCAGTTGCTGCTCTGGTGCAGGCTGAAGCTGTTGCAGCTTTGAGACAGGCTGTACCAGTGCCTCCTCTGGAGCAGGCTGCAGCAGCACCTCCTCTGGGGCAGGCCGCACCTGTGTCTCCTCTGGAGCGGGCTGGTGTGGCTGCCTGAGAAGCAGGCGCCTGACATGCTTTGGCTTGGGTGGAGTTCTGCATGGGCCGACACGCTTTTGGGGATTTTTGCGTGCCACTGGCTTTGTCTGCTCGGGAAACATGAACCATGATGGGATGCTTTCCTCACGCAGCATTCTGCGTTCACCATGGCTCAAAATCAGCCTCCATGAAGTGGTCACTGCACGGAAGTGCACTCTGAGAGGGCTTCCATGCCCTTTGCTTTTCTCCCTGACGTCTTGTGGCAGTGATCCACTTCCTCAGCAGCTTCAGGTCATGATGAGAGTACCTGGAACAGAAACAAAAATGCATCTTCAAAATGCACCTCACACACCTTCCACAGCATTTTTCGCCCCAGTCTGATTCCATCTAGTTCACATTTCGCAAGCATTACACCCAGCAGAGCTGTGATCCACATCATGACCATGTCACCTTAATGATCTGAACGCTGCCCTGCATTATTTAACAAATGCATATCATGCATCACAATTGTCACCATACCACAATTTGCCACATTTGTTGTTGTCACAACTGTCACCATGGCACCGTCACAATTTGCAGATGTCTTATGAGCTGGAGTGGTAGTTAGGTGCCACTCATATTCCATGATGCAGAACATGTCCCTTAGATGGGGTTATGTCTGGTTGTGTCTTTGTGCTAAAAAAAAACTGGTGGTTGTAAGTGGGCTGCAAGCTGGGATTTCATTGTTTATGCCCTTCAAACAACAGCGAGGCAACTTGATAACAACTTCCATGTGAATTTGCGCACTTAGACAGTGTCTGGAAAATTGAAATTTGGGTATCACCAGTGTGGGCCTCCCACTTCCCAGCCACAGTCTCAATCAACAGAATCTAGTATGAAAGTCATACAATTTTGTTGTCAGCAGATCCACAGGACTTTTATGAACACCTCTACCACCTTCATTTAGCTCTATATACAATATGATGACAATAAAAACATTTTGCCACATACCTGTCAATCAGTCAATCCACTAAATCTGTGGTGCTGCGAGCAGTGTGCAAGGCCCGAGCCAGCAATAACAATTTTTTAGTTGTTTTGTACACAATTTTTTACTGTGAGGATTTAAATCAAAGCCTAAATTCTGGGTTCTATGAAATATACACAAGTTCACTTGTTAGCTGAGCTTGAACTGGATTACAAAATGTTGCATTTGGTACAGTTTTAACCATTACAAGGATTTCTTGGAGTACAAAGAGCTACAACATTCAGATGTTTCAAGACATTTGTTTGACCCTGTCATCATCCTATAATCATACAAGGAGTGGTTTTCACTATCTAGTTAACATCTTGTCTTGACCAGCTCAGTCTTGTCTCATGAACTCTATTAACCATCCAAATAGCATGCTTATGTGCTATTTCCAATTCAAAGGAAGCAAATGCAATATCAATGCCGTACTAGCACCCCATCAGGGTGTAGGTGTACTTTCCTACCTAATGTTAAAAAAATCACTCTACACCATTCGTCGTGTTTAAGGCGGAACATATCGTAAATAATCTCAAAACAGGTAGAATCATGCTACTACCTTCAAATTTCAATACCTACGATGGCGGGCTTCCGAGCGCCGCACGCACCGCGCGGCCTGGACTCCCAGCGCCGTTTCTGCGTTGCCGTTACGTAATTACAATATTTCTGCTTACCAAGAACTATACGGGACCAAGGTAATAAAAATAGTGCAATGAAAATCGTTTCTTATCGCGTTTAAGTATGTTCATGAAACGCACAGTCCAGAATAGTCCAGAACCTAACCTAACCTAACCTAACCTAACCTAACCTAACCTAACCTAACCTAACCTAACCTAACCTAACCTAACCTAACCTAACCTAACCTAACCTAACCTAACCTAACCTAACCTAACCTAACCTAACCTAACCTAACCTAACCAAACCAAACCAAACCAAACCAAACCAAACCAAACCAAACCAAACCAAACCAAATCAAACCAAACCAAACCAAACCAACCAAACCAAACCAAACCAAACCAAACCAAACCAACCAAACCAAACCAAACCAAACCAAACCAGGCCTGGCCTGACCTGACCTGACCTGACCTAACCTAACCTAACCTAACCTAACCTAACCTAACCTAACCTAACCTAACCTGACCTAACCTAACCTAACCTAACCTACCCAACTGAACCCAACCCAACCCAACCCAACCCAACCCAACCTAAACCTAAACTAACCTAAACTAACCTAAACTAACCTAACCTAACCTAACCTAACCTGACCTAACCTAACCTCATGGATTCTTGTTATCCTGGCCCGATACATTTTCATGGTTCTTGATGCTGCTTGATGCGCAGTAATGTTGTGACCGCGCGCGGTAATGGCGCTGGTGTCGCGGCTGCTGTGTGTTTGCAGCGGTCGGATATTCGGTATCGTAATTAGTTAAGTCCCAAGGTAAGAGTATAGATGACCTGCTTTACGATTAATTATGATCTGTTCTGCCTTAACAACAACGATTGATGTACAATGCTCTTTTGAAACATGAGGTAGGAAAGTACACCCTGTCCATTTTCCTTCTGGTTCTTAGATTTTGCTCATTCCATCTTCCTACTTGCCAACATGCATATTTATTATCCTACAGGTGGATGCAACTGGATTCAGTTGTGATTAAATGCCTAGATGATAGCAGGAAGGCGCACAGCGTATCAGAGCAAAAAAAAGGAGATAACTTTCTACCTCCACCTGCCCTGAAATGGACTCACCACTCAAGAGCATTTTTAGCATCTTTGTAAAGGTGAAAAATATTATTATAACAAGGAAGTCTTGGTTATGGTTTAATCCTAGCGCACAATCGACGTCCGCTTGGCAGCGATTTCGCGCCTCGTTGCTTCAAGTCCTTCGTTGGTTATATTACCTGTGCTGTTGTCCTGAGATTACCGGTGCGTCGGCCTAAGATCAGCGAGTAAAGCGTCCTGAGCTGCGGATGGGACAGGTCAAATTCAGGAGCTTTGACAATGTGTGATTCGGAAGATGATTTTACGTCCGCGATGGACAAAAACGTCGCGAAGTCTCTTTCCGAATATGTGAGTACATGCCAGCTGAGTTGTGAGGATGCTAAATGAGCTTGGGGACTTCTTACACCGTGTATACTTAGGAAACAGGTGATGCTTTGAAACACAAAACTTATGAATTACCATGCCGGAGAGTTGCCAGCCAGTTTTTATCCAATATGCCCTGAGGCAAAATTTTTGTTGGCCAGTCTATCCACTGCACCAAATGTTTAAACCACATTGGCATGCTGGACCATGAGGTTGAGCCTGCATAACTCAGGGCAGATAAATTTCACTGAACTTTGTGTCATTTCTTGTGAATTTTTTTCAGTGTTGTGTGAAATTACCATTGCAGCATCATAATGACTTGAAGCATCAGCTCACTGCAACTTGAAAGTGGTTCTAACTGTGAGTCAAACTTAGGATGAGAAGAATTTATGGCATGCATATACTGAAACTGTTGGATTGATGATATTACTGCAACAGCAGTAGAGGCCAGGAAGCAGGGTGGGTGGAAGGGGGAGAGCCAGATCAGTCCAATCCATCCACTGATTCGGGTGCTTGTACAATGTCAGTGGCAGAACTCAGAGCACTGAGCTAAGCTCTAGCTTGGGTCAGGACAAATAGTGTTGAATCTTTGTGAGTAGATTATCCAGAAACATGGGTTCTTGAAAAATTGGTTCTGTATGCACCCGAAATATTGACAACTGTGTGCCAAACTTGTGACTCAGATTTATCATGCACATGTACTGAAATGGTTTTGAGGATTTTGCTGTTATGCTTGTACAATAAGCTGTATTTTTTAAGCCTGGAGCAGGGCTGTCAACTATCTGAATATTTAATAGTAATCCTACAGGCTTGGACTGCCAAAAATACTACAAAGTGCAATTCTTTCCCTAGCTTAAGAAAGCCTTTTGGGTCCATGAGTGATTGTTCAGTAAATAATATGTTTAACCAGAATGTGCCATTCCAGGTGCACACATGTGCAAGGTGCCAAATCTGGTTTTGCTCACAGGAGAGCTTAACCTGCCATGAAAAGGAGCAGCATGCCAAGCCAAAGGTATACCTAGTTTTTGCATAAGGTTACCATAGAGACTTTTAAAAATCCTCATTTAGCTGTGTGTTGAATTACATGAGTGAGTGCGTAGTGTGTTTTGGAAGCATGAAAATGTTGCTTGATCTGGTAAGAATCAAGGTGTAGGCTTGCAAATGATAAGTTCCCCGGATGAGGCTCTGAGACATTACCTGCCCAAGTTTGCCAGGTCAGTGGTATTGATATTCCAAGACAAGTGCAGAGATATGCTCCATGAACAGCTGCCAGTTTGTTTTGTAGTAGATTAGCCCAAGGAGAAAAGCGAATGATGGAGCTGTATCATGTTATTTAGAAAACACTATGCCTGCTTTCAACCTGTAAGTGTAGGAGTTGAGTGCTGAGGGCCAACTCGCATATATGGTCCTGATTTCAGTTCTTCCTTGTCAAGACAATACAAAATATGTGGTGTAGATTGACTTTCGTCTTATTCATAAAACAACAAGAAAGGCAATTTTTTTCAAATATGTGATGGAATCGAGCCCATTCCATATGATTATCCATGGGTGTAACCAACCCATCAAATCCTTTTGATCAGCCTGTCCATAGTTGGAGAATGGGTACAATTGGAAGCAACAGGTTTTCAATACAGTTTAAGGCAGTATATGATATGAGCCAGGGGTATGTAAAGAACTTGAGCAGGTTTCGAGCAAGGATTAAGTAATGGGAATAGCATAGCTGTGAGAAGCAGCCCCATGATCATGGAAACAGACTTAAGAGGAAAATGCACCAGGGTAAGGCAACATGGAGTTCACCTGGTTATCTGTCTGTTTCATCTAGGCCAGTTATGAATGTAGTGAAATTGTGCTGTTCATGACACTTCTCAATTTTTTTGGAGTTTGTGCAAGAGACAGTTAATCGACATTGCATTTCAGAAGTTTTCACGGTGCCTGTGATTGATATGACAATGGCAGCAAATGTTCACATATGCTGCCACACATTTCCCTGTATTTCAGAAACTTCAGTGTCAGTACTGTGATTTCCGAGGCAGCGCATTGGCGGTAGGTGTTCATCGTGTAAGAAAACATCCGGAGTACTCTCGTGATGAACAGGTAATCTTACAGCTGTTTGGTACATTTGGTCTCGTGCATTTTGTGTAAGTGGGCATTCATGTGGCAGGCTAAGTGCATCAATCAAACTGATATCAATGTGCAATGATGTTTTTACAGCTATCTGTTTGAAAGCAAGACCTGTCTTCACTGCAATGCTACACAGGTTTCATCAGTGAGAAGCACCTTTGTCTATTTAGTTTCCACTGTGAGATTTTCTGGATGATTTGATGCAATGTGTGATTATGCATGGGTGTCTTGTAAATTTAAAATAGCATCACAATTTTTCAAGTCAAAAGTCAAATACAGTCCCTTTCATAGCAGTTGAGACCTGGTCAAGATCCGCACAGCCGGGTGCTGGGTGTCGCAGTGACAAGACAAACACATGCTGATGGAGGAGCATGTGGGCAACTGTATCTCCAAGTCCTTTTCCATTGTATTGCGAATATTTCGTCTCGTGGATTAATGGGTGTACCTTGTCACTGGCTCTAGAGTCTAAGCTATAATCTCCCCCCCCCCCCTTTGGGGCAGGTTCGAAGGTTGGATAAAGATATGAAACCAGCTGTGTGGTGTGGGTGTCTGTACCATTTTAAGATCATTCAGTGTTCTCAGCGTCGCCTGGAGATACATCATTCATAGGCTGGAAAGAAACCAGTATGGCCTTGTGGCTGAGTGTGTGACCAGCTGTGAATTTCTGAAAACTGGTTCACAATAGAAGCCTCAGTATGTATGGGGCGTTCACTCCTGACCACCAAACTAGAAGACTGGGTTTGCTTCCCTGGCACTGCGCTCGATTATTTGGCTCATTTCAGATGGTTCATAGGCAGCTGGTCCTTAAAGAGGCTGTCACGAGGCGGTCGTGACACTGGTCAGGTCGTGACACTGCATATCAAATTGAAGTTTCTTGGCCAAGACGACCCGTGGCATTGGCATTGCTCGACAAGAATGTTTGGTTTATGGTCCTCCTTAAAAGTTATGCTCAACAGAAACTCCTATGTCAAAGCCATCCCTGCTGTTTAAAAAAGGTATTAAAATTGAAAAAAGAAATTTTGGAATGACCTTGCCACCAAGTTTTGGTTCATCTTGCCTATTCAAAACATGCCATCTCCTGGAAGGGTACAGTTTCCACGTCGGGCGCTCCAAGTTATTCCTCATAGCCCACTGGGGCCCACATCTGAAACGTTTCTCCACATTGCAAATCAAACATTCGCGTGACCTTTTTTAAAGTAAATAATGTCACAATTTATCATGGGATGGAATTTGTTGATCTCGCCGTTTACCTGCAAACCAGCGATATATCTACCAAAGTGTTGATCATGACGCCTATGTCTTTATATTTGCCAACACGTAGTTTCCATTATTGCAGAAGCTGCGGTGCGATGAATGCGGGCATGAGGGTACGAAGCTGGCCCTGCGAGCACATCGCTCCAAGCAGCATCGTGACCATTCTCGTGACAAGCAGGTAATGCTTAAGCCTGTTGGGCATGCGAGGTGCTTTGCATTTTGTTTCTTTTGGAGATGAGTTCTTTGATATCATCAAGGCGTGTTATGTCATTTAATAATTTACAGAACGAGTGCATTCGTGCCTTTATTTTCCGGACTCTGCCTAATATGGCATAGTTGACATTGTGGTTTGTTAACTATTATATTTGTAAGGGAATTAGTAAAATGCAGTGTGTTGGAAGCAATGCTGTGTTGTGCAGACGCTGTCATTGGATCGTTCTGGATCTTGCTGTTAAAGTCCAGCTATTATAGGTTAGCTTTACGCGTCCGGCTAACAGTCTCGTCATATGTAACGATATGCAAGTCAGCAAACCCGTGAGACACACAGGCGCACGATCGATTTGTATATACCACGCGCTGTCTTCTGCGGATACGCAAGGGCAGCAACACTTGCGTAACGCATAACCCAAGTGTTCTTTGTGCAGATTTGCAAGGAGGTGGTGGACGGCAAACCATGCACGGAAACGTTCTGGTCGGTGGGCAGTCTCAGAGAACATCTTGCCAAACGGCATATGATTGATGCAGCCAACCACTCGCTGAAGGAAGAGTTCAGCTCTCTGGATGGTACGTGGGCAACAGAAAAATGCAGATCAGCAACGTTTTGTGGCATTTGGTGCAAGCTTTAACAGCCGAACGCATCTGATGCATAGGTCATGTCGCGCATGCTTGCGTGCTGGACCAATTACTGTTTGACATGCACTGCCCTGGCGAATTCACATACAAATATCGCATTTGATGACCACATTTTCATAGCGCTTAATCCAGATCGTTTCTCCATCATATGCATTTTGCTTCACATATCGATGTTCGTCGGCCTGTCGCTCCTGTGCGGTATATCACGAAGTGAGAGGCATCTTGCTCTCATATGTCATGTTCCTGCCTCACGTTATCGTTGCAGCGCTTCCTCCTATCTAGCATTCAAATGTCACACCATTTGGTTCCAGAGACTAAATGACTGAAATGGTAGTGTTTGTCCAAAAACCAACGTAATGTCTGTCCGAAGGTAAACATAACCTGTGTCTGAACATGAGCGTTATATCTGTCCGAAAGTCAACATAATGTCTGTCCGAAGGCCACCCATTTTCATTTCTCAAAAGGCGTACTGGCGCAACCGTGATTTTTCAGAGTTTCAAGCCTGGAAGGACCAGTATGAGGCTGACACCGGAGCGGTGTACAACGTCGCTTCCAGCCGACCCCGGAGCGGTACAACCGCCCGCTACTTGTGCTCCCGGTCCGGCGTGTACGCACCGGCGGGGACCGGGAAGAGGCGGCTCAAGTCGCAGGGCACGTGCAAGCTGGGCTGCCGCTGCACGTCGGATGTCATGGCGACTACCCGAGAGGACGGCACGGTGCTGGTGACGGTGCACCCATTCCATTATGGCCACAGCATGGGTATTAGCAACATCCCACACGTCAGGATCCCCAGCCTCCACAAAGCTGCCATTAAGGGTGAGTGTTGAGAAATGGTGTGCTGATATAAGGGCGTGGGATTGCTCGCCATGACTTCAGTGTTGTGTGAGAACAACCCATGCAAATTGTAGCTGTTAGAATATAAGCATGTAAGATTTCTCACACTGTCATTGGGGTTAGGTGCCCAGTACAGTGTCAGCTCGTCAGCTGAAGTCATTCACGCATGCAAGTCGAAGTACTGCCAAAGCACTGACCCAAATGGCGTATAAAGACAAATATTAACGCCGTCGTCTTCGCTTCCAGAAAAGCTGCTGACTGGGGTGTCAATGTCTCGCATCATGAAGGATGTCCGTGAGGCGTTCGGGGCTGAAGCGGCAGCAGGCACCAGTTCCAGTTGTCCATATTGGCTCCAGCGGCGCGACCTCCACAACATGTGTCGGTCTGTCGGTATCACGGCAGCGGATGGCAGTGCAGTGAAGAACCGCAACGAAGTCATCAGCGTGCAGATGTTCGCGGAGGAGATACGATCATCGGATCAGGTTGGCAAATTGGCGAAGATTCACGTCATTGCACGTAGCTGGCATGTCGACAGCGGACATTTGAATTTCATTAGGCCCGGGCCCGCGGAGTTAGGGTCATGGGTTCTGGAGCTTCGGGGTCATGGCTATGGACATGACAATGTTTCGATCAAAACCAGATCAAGATCCGACTAGGCGTGGCGCCTACATATTATCAGCTCATTTCCACTGCGCAGGGCACGAACATTCGCAGCTGTGTTCCCATGTGAGGTGTGGGTGGGCTTGTGAAGCTGGCTATGCGCAATTGAATGCAAACCGTCGGTGCACCAAAGTTGAGGCGTTCGTAATGATTGATAAGTCGGCAGTAGGAGGAGCAGAACCGTAAAGCCAACTTTGTGTTGTCTGCAAGTCGCTCAGCAATATCAACACTGTTCCACGCACGGTGTTACTCAGCAATATCAACACTGTTCACGCACGGTGTTAAATCAATATGCACCGAACACAGGCTTGTTTCGCCCCATGTTTTGACAAATGCGCAATCAACATACCAACGTTTTCGAAATCCTTCCATCGCAGTCGCTATGAACGTGTGCCAGTTTAAACTCCATTACTCTCTGAATGGAAATCGCCAAGTTCAGTCAATTTTACCGGAATATCACCTGTAAATGTTAAAGCGAACGTTAGGTCGCCTCGAAGCCCCCAAAAACACTCCTGGCAGGGGAGCAGCCCATTGCTTTGAAAACTCCTTCATATGGATTATCAGCTGCACTTTTACTCCCTTGTATTTTAGTATCGTTTGCATGATGACATCACTGACGTCCGCTGTGATTTGGGTCGTCCTGCGTCGCGCTGGGTAAGCTGCTGGTGGGTATACGTATTTGCTTCAAGCGTGGTTATCAAGTGGTATTCGCTCTTTATTATTTCAGCAGCACCTGTTGGCCTTCAAACTTCCAGGTGAAGCGGACAGCAACGGCGCACTCCGAGATGAAGACTTCGTGTTCGCGTTCTGTTCGTCATTTCAGCTGGCGAAGTTCGTACAGCACGGTGCAAAGGTTGTGTGCATGGATGGCACGCACGCCACCAGCGGTAATAATTTATTTGCCCTTCATTCGCTAATGGCGCATCCGTCATTCGTTCACTAATGCTTCGTACTTCCTTAATTTGCATAATGCTACTAATGTCTCCTGTAACTGAAGACGTTTGGATGGTGACAACTTCTCTCAATGCAATACACTTTATCTGATAGCTGAGACTACTTTCGTAACTGGCCATAGGCTACCAGGGGCGCAATATGCAGATATGACGAAATCAAATAGCAACGAGGCTTCAGAATGCAACAAAGCAATGGTATCGTCATTCGTTGGATGTGTGTAATGAAAGCAACGCTACACCTTGGCTGCGCGAACTGCTTTTCGTTCACCTTTACGCTAATTGTAAACGATGATGGATACCATGTGTCAGCAGTAGACCAGACCTCCGCGAGGCTGTTGGTTGAACGGAAAATGTAAACAGCATCCGTCAGAAAACATCCACTTTGTCAGGGACAACCCGCAAATGTATAGCGTACCAGTCTTTAGATGTAAGGGAGCGGTGTGCTATTGAGTCTTTTTTGTTTTATGTCATTTCTTCAAGTGTGCATAGCTATTTTGGTACACTGCAGCACGATGTACGCACGCTGTGTGCAATCTCCAAACATGTGTCACTGGGCGAGTTACAGTGTGCGTATTTTTCCACTCTACAGGTCACGATTTTCATCTCATAACGCTACTGGTGGTGACGGAGACGGGAGCCGGCATGCCAGTGGCCTGGCTCATCTCGAGCAGAGAGGACGAGCCTGCCATATCATCCATGCTGACTGGCCTGGTCCGCACCTGCGAGGAGCTGGAGCTGCCGTTTCCGACCGTCCGGTTTCTTATGACAGACAAGGCCATGGCCTTTTATAACGCCTGGCTGGCGAGCACCTGCCAGCATGACACCCAACACATCCTCTGCGCCTGGCACGTCCTGAAAGCATGGAAGGGCAAGCTGGCGATGGTAACCGTAAGTCGTTTTGTTCGCCACGCGAAATTTGGACTGTAATGCTTCAGGCACGCTATTCGTTCAGTGGGCACGGCCGTGACTCCACGAAGTATTTGTAAACCCCAGAGTTGGATTGTGTGATAGTCCGCCAGTCTATGTGGACCAGCATTGCCTTCATAACTTTTGCTTGGTGTTTCCTCAGTCAATATGTTGCTGCGGTGCCAGGTCGCGATATCGAGACCTGTTTTCGGCCGGTGTACCTCACCTTTTCCATTTTTATCGAATGGGAAGGTGCAGCAACAGTGACACTGCAGCGTTCCTTAAGTGTTTGTCCAAATAGCTGTTAGTAGCTCAAATGGCCTATTCGTACATTTTTCTGGAAACGACATGGCCGTGTGGCCGTAAAATGTTACCAAAAGTGTAGCTGACCGTGGCTAGCGGGACTTCCCGTTCAGCTGAGGTGTTGCGGCGCTTCAAAGCGCTGACATCTCTGAAATGCCCGACCTCGTTCGGAGTAACCTGTAGTGCTAAATGGCAAGCTCCCTTTCTCGATTAACTATAAAAAGCCTGCGGAGATCCGTCATGTGGAGAAAAGAAATCGTCATAGGTTGATGCGCAATCATACGTGCTTCACGGCATGAATAAGTGTGCTCAGTTCAGTCTGCGTGAATTGCATTTGTCCTAAGCACGTGGGTTCGAATCTCACCTTTGTCAATGCTCTACTAGCCAGAGACCGGTGTGCTTTTGGACAATCGCTATGTATGCGGACATAACTAGTGTTTTATCCACGGCGTTAGACATAGATTTATAATGAGCATGTACACATCAATGAACTGGATCAATATTTATGAATGGATGATTTCTGCAACGTGTGCTGCGCAGACGGAAAATCGTACCGTACCGGTAACGGCCCTCCTCGGATGAAGATAGTGGCATTTTTGGTGGGAAGATGTTGACCATGCTTACCATATTTAGGCTACGAGCGATCACATCTGCCCATTTCATGTCCGTCTCGTTTCGTGCACAGAAACTATTAACTTCCGCTCGCCATACAGCATTAGTTGTTATGTGTCCAGAGTTTTTATACGTGATATTGTCAAAACTTAAATTCTAACATTCTAATTCTAAGGTTGTGATATTGTCAAAACTCGACGTTTCAAGCTGTGCTTACCATGGTTTGTGACCCCATGATCGCTCGTGGTCGTCTCTGTTCACTGATCTGATCGAGCACCCGTAAGCACTGGTTTCAAGCTATGTGTGTAAAATATGGTAAGACTAGCAAAGCGACATGGCCAGTAACCCCACCCCTATTCAATTAAGATGAAAAACTTTCCATTGCCAATTTGTAACAAAAGCTTGAGAGCACAGGTTGAAATCAGATCTCGATCTTCACCAACCGGCATCACAGCATCATGTCAACGCGTAAAAGTATGGGCAGATTAGTACATCAGACGACGCGCTCGCAAATAACATGGAATCTGCCCGTTTTGTAGTTTTTAAAATTTGTGTGGCCTTCAGGCAACCAGGTCAGGTGGTATCTTGAAAATAGCCGCACATCGCTGGTGAAGGGGCTTCTAAAATTCGTTTAACGATTTAGAGACGTTATAAAGCATAAGGTGTATTGTGGATCACCGGGAGCAGAGCCAGTAGCTGACGGGAGGGCATCTGAGATTAACGCCGGTATGGTCTTCCCTGAATGCATTGATTTAGATTGTTTGACGTCGCCGAGACCAGAGAAAAAGGGCTTGCAAACAGTGCGGTGCATATGGACGCAGACATGTAACATAGCGCGAGCCATTGCCTGCCAGACACATTTAGAGGATACGGCCACTTCTAGGTTCAGTGCATTGATGTAGACTTCTAGAAGGGTTCCCAAAGGCGATTGGCTGCTTTCGCTTTCACTTACAGGCCTTCTATAACCTGGGCCACTCCACTGTGGAAAGGCGTCTTGCTCCTTGAAGAATACGACAAAAATCAGCGTCGTACTTCAGCGCCAACCGGCACCAGAACCCTATCTCACGGCTCGCCACAGCTCGCCGTGGGCAGGCGCCCCGAAGTTGTTTCGTGCCCAGGAGTGATTTTAGGTTAAATGGCAAACATGTCGCTGGCGACGACGTTGCGTTTCATAAGCACATCCTACATGCTATCTTGAGCAACCGTAACCCAGACATGAGACTTGGCCAGCACTGTCCAGCTTACTGCTTTACTGTTCGACGGTTCTGCTTATCATCAAACGGCGTATAACCCAAAAGCAGGGTTTCACCTCACGATTCCTGATTTAAAATGTCAAAAGCTACGGCCATTCCTGGCTCAGGACTGGTGTATTGCGTGGTGTTTCAGACTGCACGAAATCGTTTTCCGCTTTGGACAAACACAAATAATTTTGAAGCTAAAGGAAGACAAACTTACATGTTGTCCCATTGGCTTGGTCAGGTCCATGAAAGGTCATGCGATGCCCGATGATAGCAACCTGATATAGTTTTACGCGTGCTGCCAGATGCCACTTTTTCATTACTTTGTTGACTTTCAGAGGTACCAGCGTGTCTGCAAAGCAGTCTGGCCTGGAAAAGACGAGACTAACTCTGGTCCGTGATGCCCAAATGTCCCGTGGCATAATTTGCAAGCCCAAATCCGTCATTTTCCTGCTTCCCTTCCAAGCTCTGAGACCCGTGTCCTTTCCAATCCGCATCCTCTAGGACCTGGTCGCTCGTCAAGAAGTTTATGATGCCCTCTGGGGTATCATGCACGAACCGGTGGAGGAGAAGGCGGTGACTGCTGCTCACGAGCTGGCCGACAGCCTGATGACGCACGCCAACACCCGGGCCTTCGGCGAATATCTCCGAAACACCTGGGTCGGCTGCACCCGGAAGTGGGCCCTGGGACTCCGGAGCGCAGAAGGCATCTCCACGAACATGCACGTGGAGGCCTTCCACCGGGTCTTGAAGTACCAATATCTCAACGGAAGGATCAGCAAGAGAGTTGACAAGTAAGTAGCTTTCAAACATGATGCAGTTTCCCTAGTGCCTGCACACGGCGCTCACAGTCCAAATGAGCGTCAAATATGAGTTCTTATGAAATAACGCCCCGTTTCGTCATAATACCGTTTAAGGCACGGGAACGACCAAGATTTTCACCAGGTTTGTATGTCTGCCAAATAGCTATATGTATATCTGGAGGCCAGCGAGACACTTGCTGTGGGCGTCATTGCCCTCGGCAACATCACTGCAACGCCAGAACGTCGCACGTCCCTAACACCTTAGGTTGTTGTTAGAAAAACTACTAGAGCCCTTCTGTAACACCAGGGACACATGGAAACCGCTTTTTACGGCACATCAACCAGCAATTATATTCTTCCGTCACGGAATTGCAGTCGATTTGTGAACAGCTGGTACACATATTTCCTGTGATGCGTTCCTATGTGCGCGTTGTCGTGCGTTGGTATACCCGCTCGCAACGTCTTGTATTAAAAAATATTCGCACACTTACCATACAACATTTACCATTCGATTCCACGCCCCTCATACAAGACCCGGCACCCTTTCTAAGCGGTGTATTATGTCCAACTCTACCATTAAGCTACATATATTGTTTGCCATAATTCCAATTTCCATGTGTACTTAACATAACCTGGTAGAAAGCATGACACGTGCCATCCAAGAAACATCCATTCAGTCCAGTCATAGATCATACTTACCGGGATTACCATAGAGTGCTGTTCAAAGGTATTGATCACACGAGCACGAGTGATGAGTTGAGATGACACGAGATTAGATTAGTTAGAAAGGAATGACTATGATGAAAATCAGAACAGAAATATAAATGCTAGCTAGCTCTGAACAAATCAAATACGTTTCCGCCGCGTTTCTTTGATGAGAGCCGCCCACACTTGCGTCCTTTGCCTCAGGTTTAGGCCACTGGCTGCTTTGTCCGATGGACCATATGGAGAACAAAAATCGACAGAAGCCACAACAGCAGAAGGTGGCCGAGAAAATGAGGCCACGTCATAGCATTACACTGCATTTCAGGTGCATCGCAGCTCTTCTCAAGTTCGAAACCGACCAGATGGTGAAGATGGGCCGCAGGCAGCTGTGGCAAGCTCCAAGCCTGCACGGCGAGCAGATCGCCAAACGGCATGCCACGGCAGCGTCCCTAGTGGCTTCCGGCAAACCCAGCGCCGTATCCGTTCCGGCCAGTTTGCTGCCTACCTGGAAGGTCGCCAGCGGCGACGCCACGCCGGACCACTCCGTGGAACTGGAACACCGCCGCTGCGCCGATCAGAACCGCGACCAGCGGTGCCAGGAGTGCGGCGTCTGTGTGCACCAGTTCCGGTGTGACTGCGTCGACTGGGTGGGACAGAAACTAGTGTGCAAACACATCCACTTGGTTTGCCTCCTAGTCACCGATGTGGCCGCTCAGGCATGGCAAGGCCCAAGGCCAAGGCCCGACATCATCCTTCCGAACACGTCAGACGAGCCCCAGGAGACCAGTGACCGGCCAGGTCGTCTCAGCTCATACCAGCGCCTCGTCATGGCGAAGTACGCAGAACAGTTAGCGCGCGTGCCCTCGACATCAGACGATGTTCTAAAACAAGTGCACACCAAGCTGCGGGAAGTGGACCAGCTGCTGGCGATCGGAGCTGCCCACGGCCAAGAAGACCTGCCGGCCGCCACGGGCGGAGACCAAGCATGGAACGCCAAGGTCAGTACGCAGCCCACGTTCACATCCCGTCATCAGAAGCGGCCAAGATCGCAGTCTGCCCAAGGTAGACACGATGGCGCAACAGCTCGGGCCATCGTGGGCTCTCTGTGCGATGGCGATGTTGGCTAGGACCAAGTCCACTGTATTCACGTGGATCACGCGTACCAGGCAGTCAGCGGGCGATAGATGCCAGCTGTTGGCGTGGGCTGGTGTTTGATATGTGTGTGTATGAAACTTCAGGTGTGGTAATACAACTGGGAGTGTACCCATAATTTCCAAGTGCATCAGAGTACCATGACACATTGTCATGGAAAGCTGTGGTGAAGTCATGCCAGAATACAAATTTATGAAGAACATAGCCATGTATCATGCAGAAATGGTCACAATAGCTCACTTATTGACAAGCCAGTTACATCAGTTGCTATCACCTAGCACAAGGTCACTCAGGGCCAGCATATAGCCAACATATCTTACATGCAATAATCTGCAGCTACTGACATGCCAACAGTCCTTCAGTCACTTACCATGCAATTTCAACTACCACAATGCATGTGTTAGTATACATCATGCTGCAGGCAAATACAAAAAGAGTCCAAAGGGTGGCCTTCAGTTTGCAATTTTGGTTGCCATTTTAAGCATAAGCAAAATAAAAGTTGCATGGGTGATATTACATAAAGTGACAAGTGAATAATCAGTCTGCGCCATGACAACATGACAGACATTGATACTGATGGATAAGGAAATCACAATGCAGATACATCATTACACAGTGGGCCAGGGAAGTGAATGGTCAGAGATAAGGACCTGACAGTTGGTCTGCATGGGTCCTTTAAGGAAGGGTGGAAAGTTTTACAGGAAGCTAGATGTAAGCAATTATCTCAGGACAGCATGTTTACATGTTACATGTTCTATCTTCCCCATCATAGATAGGTATTTAGGAGCAATGTGACATTGAAATGCATCAGAGAAACATGTTCAAAAATCACCAGCAGAGCCAAACAAATCTTACCAAGGTGCAATAAATGTCAAAAATATTCTTCACACAAGTACAGCATACATATGATTCCACAAATCTTTGAAGAAGTAATTGGCATATGAAGTATTTGCAAATGTCACACAATGTGAGTACATCACTTGCACATGTCACATAATGCAAGTTATCTTATTCTGAAAATTCATGTTATTATATGATATAAATTACTTGACAGCCCTAAGGTACAATAAACAACATTGGTTTTGGAATGCTGCCAGGACTTTCTTAAGGAGGCAGAGGTCAGTGAACACACATCACAAAATTGCTTTGCTTTTTGAGAAGATCAGTCTATCACACAAATCAAAAGTGTGGTGTAGGGGGGGGGGGGGGAGGGAGGGTATGTCACCCTTCTCAGGCTACTCACAGGCGCTGACAACACTTATGATCAACTACCTGCCATTTTTACTACTTGGAATATGAATCAGCTGCCTTGCTATCTTTATGTTAAATATATGGCTGAAAAACAGATTAAACGCCAGTCTAGTCTCACCAGCACCTAGCCAACCCAATTACGCAAACCGCTCATATACAGCGTATATGCATATTTCAGTTTCATTCCCCGTTGTCCTCTCATATCTCCATGCATTTGTTGTCTGATGTCTGCCAAGCGGACGTCGATTGTGCGCTAGGATTGAACCATTACCAAGACTTCCTTGTTTTACTAATATTTTTCACCTCTAAAAAGATTATTAAAGAGGCTAAAAATGCTCTTGAGTGGTGAGTCCATTTCAGGGCTTCAGCCGCACCCCTCGATTACCAGCAAATGCGGGGGTTGACGGTCATGGCGCAGACCCTCATACAACAAAATCACCAGTTTATGCACGATCAAGCTCGAAAATACTTACTTGTGGAATGACAAGCTATCTCCATGTCTTGGCCGATCACCCTGCCTCTTACTACACCCGATCGCAGAACAGCTTCTCGTTATTTTCGCTCCGTACGGCACCGCAAAACACCCGCACGCAGCAGTTCCAATGGTTGCTGTGCGCCGCAGAAAAACGCTTGCCTTTCTACAGCGTTTCCGGGCGGCACGTCTTGTAAAGTCGAGAAGTTTGTCTAGTCTTTTATGGGTCAGTGTTTTGGAGGGTGTATAAGCCCGGTGCGTAGCCACCCTACTCGTACCTGCTCGCTATATATATGTATATACATTATGAACTGTTGTCTTAGACCGTGGCGTAGGTGCGTCTGATAAGCTTTTTCTGCACTTGTTTGAGTTTTCTGAGGAGGAAGCTTCATGTTCTGGAGGCTGTCGCCATTACAACAGTCACCGGAACTGAACAAGCAAACCAACCCTCTATTTAGACACTGCGCAATTTGACGATCGAACTGATCTTGTTCGTACCTACTCGCTATGCCTTACTGGTCATACCTAACTGTGACATGTTATCACACATTTGTCGCGTGTATGTTGTATGTGCGTACCTTTGTAATTTTATTAAAGATTTGATCCGAACCCTTTGAATGGATGGATTTCCTGGATCACAGCTCACGCTAAGCAGTGCTTGTTGCGTGAGCCCTGACCCCTACCATCCGATCGTGCAATTCCATGTCAACGGCAGAATTTGGTGGCGAAAGCTTAACGTGCCGCAATGCTCGGCACGGTCCGTCCTGCCCTCTGACGTCAACTGACCTTTTGCGCGACCGCTGCCACCGGCCGCAGGCCATACCTGTCAAGGGCAAATAGCGAGCGCCCAAAAGTGACTCGAACCCGCCCCGCCGCGGGTGGGTGCATCGGAAGGCAGGCGCTCTAACCAACTGAGCCAACGGGACGGACAAAATGGAATATGTTAGTCCGAAACATCAGGCCAACCAATAGATGCCAAAAATCAGTGAGTTTCTTTTAAGTCTCAATGATGGGCAGATAACCGTAATAAGAAAACGGGAGGCGTTCATATTGTCCAGGGTACAGAGTGTCCAAAGGTACAGAATGTCCAAAGTACAGAATGTCCAAAGTACAGAATGTCCAAAATTCATAATGTCCAAGGTACACAATGTCCAAGATGAGAAATAACTTCCAAAATGGCGCGGAGTGGAAGGGGGCTGTTTCATAATACCCAATGTACAGAATGTCCAAGGTACAGAATGTTCAAAGCACAGAAAGTCCAATGTACGTATTGTCCAAGGTACAGAATGTCCAAGAACCAGAACTTCCAAAACAGTTCTTGGAGCGGCCGCCAGGGTGTGAATAATCGCCCTTATTGGTAGGCAGCGTGGCTCCGCCCAGCGTCGGCCGCGCGCATACAGTCGACGCCAGTGCGAACACTACAAGCATGCGGTCGGGGGGTCGCATAGCAACGGATTCATTTCCCACGCCGGTGCAGAGATGGTGTCGGATGCTGTTGGTCGGCGAGGTCGCGCTCGACTTGCAAGTGATCGTTGAGTATGAGACGAGTACCGTGGAGTGGGGCGTTGGAACACGCGCGGAGCTGCTGTGGAAGCGTCGCAGCGTTGCGCTTAGCCGACGTGGAACTTGTTTTGTGTCTGACCGGGGGCGTGTTCCCTGTTTGGTCATAGCTGTATGCATCTAGAGCCTCTTGTTGCAACTGCTGCCTATTCTAAGTGATCGCTGCAATTATCATCGTTTTCACCACAATTAGCCTACAGCGTCCAAAGGAATAAACCTTGCAAGAAAGGGGAAAGTATGGGTATTGATAGTTTATGCTTCCTATCGGGTTGATAGCCTGTTTATGGTTATTTATCACTGGCATCTACGTCAAAGGTGCAACATGCTACAAAGCACGCTACATTACAAATCATAGGATATGATTCAATGAATAGCCATTTGTGGTCAAGATACCGCACATGATACCATTTAGAACAATTAGCTGATGCATCAACAGATTGGCGGAGACTTTTCATCAATGTGGATTCCCCACATCAATTTATTGGATCCGTCAGGGGCGGCGGCAGGAGATATAAGTTGAGAAAAGGCTTTCGCAGTGCACTTCCTGAACAGCATGGGGTCTCCTTTCAGAGGGGGGGGGGGAGGCGGGGGGTTTCCAGCCCTGGTCCTTTTGAAGGGGGCACCGAGGCATGGGACATGTGAGTCTCCATTGAACTGGACCATGCATTAATATTCATGTAAATCAATGTCGTCCAGAAAAATCCAGAATAGGGGAGTGCGTAAATGTTGAACTGTGTTAAAGTCTAGTTTCAGTGCGTAAACGTGGCACCGACCAAGTCGTGAACTAGTAGCCCTGAATGGGGGTCCAAACGCATAAAAATACGTCCAAGTTGTCAAAACATGGCCGTTGTCTTCTACGGCTGTCCATCCACTTCCTTAGCCAGTAACTCATAAAGCAACGAAATAATTTCGCCGTTGACGAAGCAGCAACGGTGAGCTTGTCTCCCGAGCTGGGAAAGATGAGTGGGAGAAAAACTATGTTCGGAAGGCTCAATGCCCGGAAGATCTATACGTGGAATACCCACATTCGGATTGCTCACGCTCAGGAGACTTCGGAAGAACCATCTACTCCCCAGATGAGACCCTAAAAGGAAATGGGGCAAATAGCAAATGTGGAGCGCTGAGGGCGAATAACAGGGGGACTCAAACCTACCCACACCGTCACATGTGGGCTGGGCAGCACGCACTAACTGATTGAGCTATGGCGGCGTTTCTGCTACCTAAAGTCTCACCAGTCCAATAGTAGGCACTGGTTAACAAGTCGTGAGATCCCGCCGGGCTGAGAAGCGGCTGTGCTTAGTTTCATGCATCTAGGAAGTTAGTCTGCAAAATGGGCAAAATCCGAGGACAACTTCGGTTTTTTAGATATGCTCGCCCTACGAAGGAAGTCGGTGACACTACCTCTGTTCATCGCATGAGAGCAAATCCAGAAATCTACCATTCGTTGAAAGAAAAAGACAACGCTTACACTTGTGCTAACCGTTGATGTTTAAAACAGCACCGTAACACCCACACACACGCACACACGCACGCACGCACGCACGCACGCACGCACGATTTTTTCTCACAACTATGAAATATATGCCAAAACACAGGTACGTCAGTATACCGGGAGACCCGTGGCTACGCCAAGTGTCTATGCCAATATTTCCAAAATATTTTGACAAATCAACAGTTCCAGGTAGTACACGTGGTCACCTGTGAATAAGTTAACGCACAACGCGCAATTCAAAAGGCCTGTGAATGATCGCAACTGTTGCAAATCTGTGCAGATCCTGACAAGAAAAAGTATTAAAGTAATCAAGCATGCAAGCTTCTATATCCTAATGTAAGACGCACGGCACTATAAGGCTTGCATGAGACATCGATGGCTAGGCCGGAAGGTTTCGATGGACTGTATCACATATCAGAAAGCTATTCGCTACAGGAAATTAGTGCCAAAATCAATCAGCAGACAAGTATTGCTGAAGGTACCTTACCTGAACAACAGCGCTAACAATCAATATTTCACGATGGCGCTTGCGAATTTATCATCTGTCAACGTTTACCGATACGCAGCGATTCTTATATCCTTGGGCCGCGTTGTCTTATGC